GCATTGTGTACTTTGCTGTCTGTCTCTAAGTGTAGCCCTGTGATAGACTGGTTACCTGTCCAGGTGAACCTGCCTTCACCCTGAGTCAGCTGGGATAGACTCCAGCCCCCCATGACCCTAGTGAGGATTAAGGTGTAGAGATGATGGATGGATGAAGCTACAGCCAGAAGACCAGTAACAGGCAGCTAGTCTGTTGTTTTCTACAGTTTTTTCATGTTTTTAAAAGAGGAGACAAACTATGCGAAGTGGATTTTGCCACTTGTTTCCTCCAGTCTTGTGTTTGACTGGTAGATATGAGACTGTTGCTAATCTTCTTATTAAACCCAAAGTATCAAATTTGTGTATTTCCCCAAAATGCCAAACAGACCTTGAAGACAGTTTGAGAAAGATAACGGTCTCATTCGCTGCATGTTAGTGGACGACTGCATAACACAGTGGTGTCGTCTAAAATGCACAGTGGAGGCAAATATTTAAGGAAATGGAAGCAGGTGCTCCTGGCACAAAAACTTAAAAGTCTTTTATTCAAAGGATTAAAATTGTGGCACAGATATTTATGCAATGATTAATTTATGCATTCACTGTAACAGTAAGTGTACAGTCCACACATAAAGAGGAAACTGGTATAATAATGTGCATCGTACGTCTTTATGTGACTTTAATTGTTTGTTTGATTAGTTTTTTTAGGCATTTTAAATCTTGAACAGACTCAGGCATCACAGGAACATCTATCACATTAATACGCTTCCAATAAAACACATGAGAAAGCAGCATCTGGCTCTGCTCAGCTGATGGAAACAGCTTAAACGAGAAGCCACAAAACTTGACTACACAGAGACAGAAACATAAAGACAGGTCAGACAAAATAGAGTCGCTCCTATAAACATGTTAAAATAGTTTTCTTCTAGTTATAAAGTGACTGCAAGGAAGGTATTCTTTACTTAATGCAAACAAAATGTGTGACAAGATGGACCTCTGGCAATGTACATCCATTCATAGTTCAATGCAATTTAAGTTGCAGTTGAAGTAGTTCGGTGCAGCTCCAACCCAAACGGATCGTCCATGTGGATCCACTTGTGTGTTTAAATATCAGTGGTTACATATGAGTTTCTCATTATGAGCGTGATCTGTCCAACTCCTCCAGCCTGGTGCCAAAAAGAGTTTGTAATGGAACTTAAGTGACGGAAATG